AACAAGAATATTATTTTAAGAGTGTTTTGGTGAGTTACCTCAACATATGTTGTTCAATACAACATATGAGAAGATTTTTTATATAATATATATGGGAAATCTTATAAATGTACTACCCTATTAAGATACTTTTGGTAGCCTCATTAAAAAAAAAAAAAATCAGAAACCATGCTTCCTTCTGCTATTAAATCCCACAGGTTTAGATGGGAATCTGTTAGTATAATTGTCAATTTGACCTTTCAATCTGTTTTCAAGAAAAGGTGAGAAGAAATGTTTGAGAATCTGTGAATGTAAATTTGTGAGCTGAAGGAGAGTAATATCACAAGTGACTAAATAAAGAATCACACTGTCAACTATATTTCAACTTCAGTGCAGAGGACAAATGCACCCAAAGAGGGAGTTTAAACTGTCACATCTGCAATCATCTGTCACGTTCACCATAGACATGGTAATGATACCAACCAAACTGCCAAAAAACCACCAAAACAAACAAACAAAAAAACCCAACCAGGCATCTAAAGCAATAATCAACCGCTGAACAATTCTGCAAAAGAAACCATCCCAATGGCATTAGATGGATGGGATATTATCTCACATATAAATCCCACAATAGCAATACAGTATATACAGTAGAAATGGTTTATATCCAGGAGCTGCACTTAGATCAGGTCCCACTCATTCTCTCTACTTTGGCATTTCTAATTTGGAAATCTTGGCACTCCACCCTGCTTTCAGAACTGACCATCTGCTTTTGAGCAGGGGATACTGAACATGGATGCTGACCTCATTCCCAAACAATCAGCATACATAATTAAAGCAAATTATACACATTTGGGAGTAACATTCATAAAACTCAATGGGCTTTGGTTCTCAGTTCATTGCTCTAAATACAAAATCTTTCTAAGACATTGTGCCATTACTTTACATGCACACACACATACACATCAAGTATACCTGGTAGACACTAATATGTCATTGTGATTTTTTTTAATGTGCGTGCCATAAAGCATCTAGCTGCATGCATCTAGGAGAGTGTCTGTAAAGTGCAAATGTGATTGTAATATCCCCAAAGCCAGGAATTGCACAGAAGCTATTGGAGATTTTCCAGCCAGAGTAATGCTTCAGGCACTTGGCAAGCCCACTATGATGACTCCTGCTTATTCTCGATAATGTTTAAATGCTATAGAGATTAATTATACATTTTATTAAATATTTTCCAGATATTTTAGAAGCAATAGGACTATGAATTGGGAGGTGGGAGTAGCAATCTGTGCTGGGATTTTTCAACCCTAAAGATGGAGTGATATTGAAAAGCAGTCTCCACCAGAATTGTCAAGCTTTAAAAAGAATAATTTTCTGCATTAGCAAGTTTCCCTACTTTTATCCAGTCAGAGAAACAGCTGTAGCAGAAACAATTATATTCACTTGGGCCAGAGGGAAAGTGAGTTAACTGCAGCATTTTTAGGAAGAAATGGCTGATTCTTTAAGACAAATATGCACCACCTGAAGCTTAAGGGAATTTTGTTTCCCACCTTCACCCCCCCAAAAAGTCCTATGTTCTGTCTAGAGAGTCTCTGTGAAGGTTACATCAAATTGTAATTTAAAATGTGAGAGAAAGGAGATTATATTAAATACTTTAGGAGTTATAATATTAGCTATATAATTAACATAATTCAATTTTTATTACTTTTAAATAAAATCAATTTTATTTTTTTTCCTAATCTCACCCACTTTTTGGAGAGGCCAACTCTCCCCCCCCCGATGCTTTAAATTAATTAAATTGGTATCATTTAACCTTCCATGAAAATTCTATATCTGGTTCTGTTTGGTAGATCCCAAGATTCTATTATAATTAAACAAAAGGTTGATTCCATCCATAGATTGGTTGGTGTGCCTGCTGAAGAAGCCAAAAGTTCTTCATTAAATTTCTCTGGGTTCTCATTGGTACCATCTTCCAATTTCCAATTGAAAATACAGATTCCTAGGAGTAAGTCCCACTGAATTAACTGGTTTACTTCCCAATTCACATACAGAATTTCATTCGCAAATGGGTGGACTTTGTATACTATAAACATGTGAAAGAACAAAACTGGGAATAAAATTTTCAAAAGCATGTTTTCAATATGTGCACCATAATACCACCATAACTTTGGGGGAATGGCTGTTTGGCAACAAAATATCACAGATCTTTCATAAGATGGAATACATAATGCTGAATTCTGTATCAATTATGTCTGAAATTTTCACTGGAGTAAACATCTGTCGTTAACATTTTGTTTTATGATTTGTCCTGGAGAAACAACATAAACGACCATCAGCTTGCTCATTTCAGACCAGGCTGAATAATATTTTTTAAAAATGGATGGAGCATATTTTTGTCTTTTCTGAAAACATATGAAGTCATGTGAAAGAGAAAGAGTTTAAATTATGTTAATAAGCTTGAGAAAGAATATTATTTCTATACATTCAGAAGAATCATGTTCTCTTGCTTTCTCTTACCGTTCTGTCTATATTTTCAGAAAATGAACATCCCAGTTTACTGTGGACACAGATCTTACCAAGCTGTGCTTTTCAGAGGTGTTCGAACTACAGCTCTTAGAATTTGTAGCCAACATACCCAATGTCTGGGAATTCTCAGGGTTGTAGTCCCAACTTATCTGAAAGATAGCAGGCTGGAGGAAAAGCTGAAGTTGGATGTGAATTAGGGAATGGAATTGTAATTAACTGAAAAGAAGTGCCATTCTTTAAGATACAACTGTATTATCTCAGATCATCAGTATCTGGCTAGCCAAAATTGCGTAGCAGCACTACAATGTATATTGTTTTAAACCCTATCTATGTTAGCTCTTTTTTTTAAAATTGTAGTTTATTGTACAGTTGATTATAATTCACATAAACAAGAGTGACCTGGAAGTAAAATTAAGTCATAGAGTATAAAGTATTATTTTCTGGATGGAAAATAATAGAGCTGCCAATCTTGATTTAGGAATCCTTCTAGTGCTTTTTACAAAAGTATTGCTACATCTTCATATGTTGGCAAATTCACACTTTTAAGACACATTTTTGCCCTATGAATTATACTTGAATCAAAGAATAATATAGAGAAAATAATCTGTATGTAGTAAAAGAACAATAATCTGTACTATCAGCTCTAACACTGACAACTATCATGAAGGATGAAAGGGAGGGAGGGAGGGATAGTTTTCAGTCTGTTTGTCTCCCACCACCTGAACCTGCTTCAGTGATGATATATTGCTGAATGGGCCTGAAAAACTGAAATACTCAGCTACCCCAGGTTGTATTGGCAAGTTTGTCATCCCATAATACACTTTTCACATGGGTACAGATTGTATACCAAATTGATTTTACAACTGTATGAAGTCAGTATCACTGAAAGGGACATAATTGCATTTTTTGGCTTTTTTGTGTTTCAGGGTGGGTGAATGATAGGAACTGGGAGGCCTCTGGGAAGCCTGCTCCTTAGAGTCAGCTGCAGAATGGCCAAGCTTTAGCAGCATGGTTTGGGAGGTTGGGGTGAGGGGAATGGTGGGCCTTCTGTGAAATTCCTGCTCCCATTCCCACACTTAATTTTGAAACATGCCCTCCATCACACTACCCCAAATCAACAATTTTACAAATATCAGCATAGCAATCAGTCAGGATATCTGCTTTAGAACAATAAATGACTCAGTATTTATTTTCTCTGCATACATTATTAGTGGACTGCTTAAACTTTGTTAATCAACATATGAAATGGTTTGTCTGACTACTATTCTTTATAACTGGACATTAAGATTTTGTTCATCAGTCTTTCAACTGTTAATGAATGAAATCTGACACTTTTCTGTATTGTGAACCACACAGCTCACAAGGTTTGCTAAGGAAATGTAACATCCATATAAACAAGCCTTCCTCAACTCAGGGATCTCTGGAAATTTTGGCTAAGAATCTTTAGAGTTGCAATCCAATACCTCTACAGGCCAGGATAATAAGGGGATAGTAATAATGGTGATATGATCTGGCTATTTTAAAAGATGTAAATTTTTAAAATGATGATAGTTATAGGGCTGGATTACTATAAATTTTGAATTGCATTATTATCCTTCAAAACTTAGTTAGGTGGTTCACATGTTCGAACAGAGGATAAGAATAAACTATGATTTGTTCATTTGGATGTAAAAGGAAAATATGCTTTGGAGTACTGAAAAAACACAACTAATTGAACTAGAATATGCAAAAGGAGATACAGGAAAGACAGAACAAATTACCACTAGCCTTATTCCTTATCTGTTTCTTTGAGTAATAACAGTTTCCATTTTAGTTTTAAAGAAAAACATATTTCTAGCTGTTCAGGAAAGATTTAAAATCTCAGAGAAAAGGAAAACATGGGAAAAAAGAATAATTTTCATAAAATTATTTCTATACCATATTAATCAGATGAAACATCCTTCACATTTGAAGATAACATAAAACATGTCCTATACAATAAAGGGAACATGTCCACCAGAAATTATTGGCCGTAATTATCTTAAGGCAATTAGCTAAATTATTCTGTCTCATCCAGGGGCATGTGAAAATCATTTAGCTTCTTTCTACTGCCCCAGAAAATAATAAAGTTCCTTGGCTTCAAACTGCAACAGGTAATAAACAGTAATAGGTAATTTAAACTATCCTTGAAACCATGACCCCAAAATATCTGAGTTGGAATACCCACAACATTATGCTGTTTTATCAGTTGAATGACAAAGTCAATGTTTTGCAAGGACCAAAATGCCAGTTCAATAAATACATTATATTTTTCTTGTTCTTGTTCTTTTTATATTTATAGATATATTTATAGATATATATATAAAACACATATATTTTACACAACCCCATAGCAGTATGGGAAATAAAGATCCTTCTACAAAAAGAAGATGTTAAGTTAATGTACAAAATAAAGCTTTAGAGTTTAAAAAAACCCATCTGGGCAAGAAAGTCCTATACCAGTTAGTAGTGCTAGCACTTCTTTGCTTGAAAGGCCCAGGTGAAGCAAGGAACTGAGGAGATATATTATCAGGTGAAATGATATCTGTTTTCCTGTTTTGGATATTGCACTTCAAAGTTCTTCTTTTGTCAGGAAGGATTCAGTAGATCCAAAAGAAAAGAAGCCATTGCTGCGAAGACAGAGACAATGAAAGATGCTGTGGTGCTTTTGAGGGCACAACTTTTGAGATGATGGTGGAATGCAAGGTCTGGGTGTGGCTGCTGGTCCACCTGGTTCGAGAACCAAATAGATGGGTCGACAGAGATGAATCCATTTGTTGTTCTCATATCAGAAGGCACGGTGGTGGTGCTAGAAGAGAACACGTGAAGAAAATATTATTCAATTCCATTTATGCGGGTTGGGAAAAGTAGCTAATATTTCACATATTCATCCCATTTCAGATAAACTGGGGCAGAGTCAAATAAAATAAATAGAACCTCACTAAAATTTTGAAGAAAACATTGCCACAGATAAGTTACCTTTTTTCCCACAGTTGTCATGGGAAAAAACTAATCTAACAAATGGCATTTTTTATGGTTAAGATGGAAATAAACAATGCATTCTATAGTAGTAATGGAAAAAGTCACCCTCTAGCTGAACTCAATTCCTGCTGACTGACATAGTTTTCTGGCAACAGTGTGGTAGTGTTTTTGTGCTGCTTCTTTCAGGATGTATTTCTGATTTCCTGGTATAGACTATAGTGCTGGTTTTGCTTAGTGGTCCCCCGTCTATGTTCTAATCAGGTCCAATGCTGCTTAGCTTTTTTGAGATCAGCCAAAGTTTGCTAGGTTCTACTTTCTGATTGGCATGGAATAATCTTCATTTGCACTTCCAGGGGAGTAAGTAATGGTAGTGTCATTTTTTATTCCATGAACAAACCCTCTAACAATTGTTAATAGCAGTTGCTGTATCCTGGCAGTGTTTACTTGAATAATAGCCGCTTCCCCTCAACAAATACACCTGTATGTTAAAGTATAATAGGGACATCTGAGAGATTTGGAGAATACATTTGGGAGAACTTCAAAGTAAAGTGATATATTAAGAAACTATAGGTCATAAAAGGAAACTAGTGTAAGGCTTAGAGCTTTCTCTTTTGCAAATTCATCTGAAAACTATGTAGTTAGGGTTAGGACATTTAACAGAACATTTGGAATTAGCAATGGAAAGTGGGTTAGTTTTAGATTTTGCCCAAGAAAACACCTAATTCCCCCCTAGCTCAGCCTCTAAGGTTTTCAACCTTCTGTTGATGTCTAAAACTATCATGTGGTGTTACTTTTTTTTTTTTTGGCTATAGATGAAAAAGACCCTACACATTTCAACAGATAACAGGCAGGCCTGCCTGTTTAAGGTTTACTGAAACAATGTTCTTTGCCCAGTGATGTTTCCCCCTCTTAGCTAGTTTATGAAGATGAAAATACCATATATTTGAAAGACAGCATCTACTGATAAAAATTGGTGCTTAGATTTACTTTTTTAGACAACTGCAGAGGGGTGAATGCCTTGCAAAATCTAATAACCTTTAAAGCATGTGCTTGGAATGATTATTCCATCTCCAGTCTAATGAATTAAAGATGTGAGATAATTCTTATTAAAACCAGTCGGTCAGGAAATGATAGATCATTCATTCTTTCTAATAAAAAAGCAATACCACTCTGAAGTTGCTACAACTGCTCAGGGTGATGTAGCTGAAAAATATCATCGATTTTCATGAAGTGTCTGTGTGGTCCTCACACAAAATCTGACAGTGTTAACTCTCCCTTTTGACCTCTTTCCCATCTCCAAAAAATACTTTGATTCTTTTGTAACATTTTGGGAACATCTCTTTATAATCCTGTACCATGACTTATCACTACAGTTGTGATGGAATGGAATTATGAAGGCCAAGTGCAGGGAGATAAACATTTTCTTAACTCACCAGAACCGCGTGAGAGGAACAAGAGGATGAGACTGGCACCTCCCTGAGGAATTCAC